TTAAACAAGTTCATTCTAAAGTTTATATGAGAAAATAAATATTTAAGGGTGGGCAGCAAAATTTGAAAAAACCACTAATGTGCAGAAGCCCCAGGAGAGGATAATGTGTATTAAAACCCTAAGATACATAATCTCACTGCTCTTATTTCATAATACATATACTTCAAGCCATTACAATTATACTCGAACAAAAGAAAGTGAGAATTTTAAAAACAGCCTATATTTCATATAACATAATTATCTACATACAAAATCCTTGAGAGTCTACCAAAAATACCTGTTAGGACTAGTGAGTAAATTTAGTAAATTCGAGGGATATAGAATACAGGATCAACACACAAAACCCATTCCATTTTCATATGCTGACAATAAACAAGTGGAATAAAAATAAGAAACAATACTGTTCATAATAACTTATAAGAAAATGAAATATTTATATATTAATCTAAATATATATATGACTTGTATGCTGAGAATTATAAGGCACTGTTTAAAAATTCAAGAATAATGACTTAGGGAGATATTGTATGCTTTTAAGTTGAAAGACTCAACATAATAAAACTTTCACTTCTTACATTGGTCAGGAGCCCTAACAGGGTTGCTAACAAATCTCAGTAGGTTTTTGTTTATTTTTGGTTTAGTATGGTTTGGTTTGGTTTGGTTTGTTTGGTTTGGTTTGGTTTGGTTTTGACATAGGCTCTTGTTATAGAGCCCAGGCTGGCCTTGAGCTTGCAGTTTGGCTCAGGTTGGCTTAAACTCATGATCCTCTTGGCTCAGCAAGGTTTTTTTCTTTTTAATTTATTTTTTATCTAATACATAGAACCATGAGAATCAGTGGTATAAATCAATGGCATTATGTAACGGTTCAAGACATATATATTATATAACGCCCAAGTTAGGTTAAACAACTATTTTCTCACATTTTTTTCATTTCTTTATGGTAAAAGCTTTAAAACCTTTCCTACTAGGTTTGTGAAATGTATGGTACACTATTGTCATCTGTAGTCACCCTACTGAATGCTGCTTCTTGACCTTTTGGCTAAGATCAACTCCTGTAAGCACTTGTTTATAGTCCCAGCTTATTCAAAAACTTATAGGGAGCCACGTGTAGTGGCACATGCCTGTAATCCCAGCATCTGGGAGGCTGAGGCAGGAAGGTTGCCTCCAATGCAAGGCCAATCTGGGTTACACCACAAGATTCTGAAAAAAAAAAAAAAAAAAAAAAAGGAACCGGGGAGATAGCTCAGTCAAGAATACTTGGAAACACTTTTGAAAAAGAACAAGATGGAAGGAATCACCCTTTCAAAAGTGTTACTATGCACCTATAGTGAACAAGTCTGGGTGGTATTTACAGAAGGATAGAAAACATACATTAATGGAACAAAATTGAGAGCCCCAAAAGGGAAGCACACAATGTCTAATCAATATTTGATAAAGAAGTAAAAACAATCCAAGGATGCTGCAGCAATTGGACATTCATATAAATAAAAATAAAAACGCTGAATTAAGTTGAGGTCTGTCTTTATGTATTGTCCTATGACACTATAAAATATTTGCACTGTTAGACAAAAAAAATAAAAATTTATTTTTAAGCAGAAACTTGTACATAAATGTTTATAGCAACTCTATTCATAAGAAACCAGTTACTGAAGAGGAGAAGATACTTCCTAACTCCATCTGTGGCGATCACATGACTCTGAAACCAAGAAGAAAGATAAACTTGAGATATCTCTAGGAACACGGATGGACCTTGAGACCATACTCTTAAATCAAATGAATCAGACACACATGTGTAGATATCCCATTGTCTCTTGGTGTGAGAAAGGTAAAGTGCAAATAAGAACCAAAATATATAATACATATTGTGAAACGGAAACAAATTGTTCAGAAGGAAAGGGGGTGGGGTAGAGAGGAAGAAAAAAATGAGGGGAAAAAAGGATAAAATGGAAGCAGAGCTGTGTAAATAAGTAAGGGAAGAGAGTTGAAGGGAGGGGAAGGGCATGGGGGGGAAGAGGAATCAAGATATATCATGAACAGGTACCCATTCCCTATGATAAATGTGATCCTCATGTATATCTAAATTATAGCAATAAACTTAACGTTTAAAAATAAAATATACTAGCAAACTAAATTGAGCTGCACATTGAAAGGGGTTTACAGCATTCTCAAATAAGGGTTAAGCCCAGAATACGATAATGATTCAATGTTTGGAAATCATTAGCGTTAGTAAGACATTAACAAAATAAAGAGATAAACCCATATGACAATTTCAATTGACACAAAGAAAGCATTTGGCAAAATTGAGCACCCGCTCATGATTGAAAAATTAAAAATCCTCAACCACCACAAAAAGAAGAAAATAAGCTCAATGTCGTTAAAGTCATTCATGAGAAACGCATAACTTAGAGGAAAGTCTTCATATTGTTAGAAAACTGACACGTTTCCACGAAATTCAGAACGAGAGCAAGAGCACCCACCTTCAGCCTTTCTGATCAACATAGTTTTGGCAATCCCAGCCAGACTAATTAGGGGAGGAAAAGACACTAAACACGTCCACCTTGGACAGGAAGAAGTGAAATGGTGTCTGTTCTGCAAGGAGGGAGACAAGGGTTTGTTCAGCGGAAAGAGGATCAGGAGATGGAGGGAAGGGGGAGGGGGAAGGAAAGGGGATGTAAAAAGATGTGTTGTGTGCAAGCACCAACTCCTACAGATATGGGATCATTATGTAATGGAAACACACACTAATCAGCTTAACTTTTAGAAGTATATGAAGAAAAAGCTCAATTAAAATACACTTGGGGATGATTTCTCACATGCAACACCAAAAGCATAGGCAACTACAAAAAAAAAAAAAAAAAAAAAGATAAATTGGACTATCGAATTTTATTTTTTTCCTCTGCCCTGGAGGACATAACCAACAGAGTTCAAAGACAAGTAATAAAAGAAAACATTTGCAAGGCATATAGCCAATACGGGGTTAATATTCAGAATGCATAAAGAACTCTGACACTTTAGCAACAAAAAAGAAACAACCCAGTTTTTAAAATGGGCAAAAGATTTTTCTCCACAGAAGACATACATATGGGCAATAAGCATGAGAAAAGATCATAACATCCTTAATTACTAGGAAAATACAAATTAAAGCCTCAGTGACTATCACTCACACTCATTATGAAGGCTATTATTAACACAAGGAGGAGGAGGAGGAGGAGGAGGGGAAGAAGGAGGAGAAGGGTGACAAGGCGGAGGGGGAGGGGAGGGCAGACGGAGGAGGGGGAGGCAGAGGAACAAGGGGAGGATAGGAAGGGGGAGGAGCAGAAGTGCTAATGATGACAGGGTTGGCGCCCTTGTACACCTCTGGTGGGAATGCAGCATGGTGTCACTGAAAACACGTGCGCTTCCTCCAAACACTGCACCTAGAAACAATTACAGCATTCAAAATTTCACTTCTAGGTATCTACACAAAAGAATGGGAAGTAAGGACTCAAACAGAATCTTTTCTTTCTTATTTTCTCATTACACTGTCTCTGCAGTACCATGCTTAACAGAGACAATAATAGCATCTTTGTCTGCCTGTATGCCCAGAAAATGAACGTCGAAAATTTAGTACTAAAATAACACTTATGACAGCATTTTTCAACATAGCAAAAATGGAAGCAACCCAAGTGCCCATCAACACATGGAGAAAAATATGGTGTATGTGCACACACACACACACACACACACAACACTGGAATATTACTCAACAACAAAGGAAATTTTGACACTTTCTCCAAAATGGACAAAACTGGAAAAGATTATACTAAGTGTAATAAGCCAGACACAGAAAATAATCATCAGAGGACTCTGCTTGTATGAATAGAGCAGTCAAGGAGAGACAAAAAGGAGAATGATGGTTTCCAAAATCTAGAAGATGAGAGAAAAGGAATTATTATTATTCAAACATAGAATTTCTTGCCAAGCAATGGCCATGACTCATCCAAATGGCTGACACTGACAAAGGTTCTACAGTATGAGGTACAGGATCTCAGGATAAATCCTGAGGGGATTTCACTGACCTTCTCAGACCCAAAAGCTACAACTCTTGTTGCACAGGTCCTGCTTTACCTTGGTCTTAACCATCCAGAAGAAAAGTATAAAAACGAAGTATAAGAAGTAAAGCCATGCTATTATGTTGAGCTGTAGGGGACTCAGGTCAACAATTTCTGATACTGCCGGTGAAGTGGAAGACCCAATACTATTATGGACTACTGGACTCTTTTAGAATATTTTGCTGAGTTTACACACCTATAATATTCAAATAACAGAACTTAACAAAAAAAGGGAATACAGATGAATGTTCATTTTGTATCTGTGTATTCAAAGTGGTTAGGATAGATATATAGTTACATTCTCTTAATGAATAGAGTGATTTGTTCTACTGGTGTTTGTAAATAGGATATCATGTCCGCATCTTGTACAGCAATTAACCACTAGGAAGAATGCATGCAATGTGTTAATTATTGAAACTGTCCTACCAATTTGGTTTGAAACTGTCTCATTGTTATTTGTTTCTCAATAAAATCATGGGGAAAAAAACAAGGTTTTATTTGAATAAAAAAAAATACTCAAGGCTGGGGAGATAGCACAATAGAATAAGCACTTGCCTGCAAGCACAAGGTCCTGAGTTCAATCTCCAGTACCACAAAAAAAACCACCAAAAATAAAGATACTGATTGAATAGAGAAACTCTGGCTTAATGTTTACTGATTTACTTTTTTACCCGTACTTTATATTTTTAAAAATGTTTAAGGAGTATGCTTTACTTTTACAAAATTTATTAGGAAAAAACCCCATGACATCAGACCTTTCCATCTCAAACTACCCAATCACAAGTCTCAAGAGAATCTTAAATTACTAAATGAAATTCTTATGTAATTTCAATCATACCGTATGTATATTTATACTACAATGTGCTGTCCTTACACCTTTGTGGCTTTTAAAATAGTTTTTAGCCTTTCCTGTGTGGCACGAGCGGCGTGAGGCGACGAGTTAGGTCGCTGGGCTTCTCGTTTTCATCGCGTAGACAGCTCTACCACCAAGATGATCAATGTACCTAAAACCCGAAGGACTTTCTGTAAGAAGCGTGGCAAGCGTCAGCCTCACAAAGTGACGCAGTATAAGAAGGGCAAGGATTCCCTGTACGCCCAAGGAAAGAGGCGCTACGACCAGAAGCAGAGCGGCTACGGTGGGCAGACGAAACCCATCTTCCAGAAGAAAGCTAAAACGACAAAGCAGATTGTGCTCAGGCTTGAGTATGTGGAGCCCAGCTGCAGATCGCAGAGAATGCTGGCCAGTAAGAGGTGCAAGCACTTTGAACTGGGAGGAGACAAGACGAGAAAGGGCCAAGTGATCCAGTTTTAAGCTCGTCCTTCACTTTAAGGCAAATTTATTGAAGTTATAGAAAGATTAGCTGTAGGAAAATAAATGCAGTGGTAACCACAAAAAAA